TTCACTTCGGATGGGGACTCGAAAGCCTTGACGTTGAGAGTTCTACAAAACAACTCTGCGCACCACAAATGGCGGATAGCTGCAGAAATGGTTGCTGTGGATCCTTGATTCGAGACCATGCTGTTTGCTATCCCGACATTAAAAAAAAGCAACAGTGAGTGGTCCGTCACCACAGATCAACCTCCATTGGATACACTGACCTAGCAGAACCTCCATTGAGAGTTGCCACATTCTTCGAAACGAATTCAGACCGTTCTTCGAACACCTCCACGGTGACTCCAAGCGGCTGCCCGGACGGGATCCGACTCCCGATCCCGAAGGCCTGATTGCTGAGCACGTCGAAGACGCCATCGGTGCCCAGAACGATGAAAAGGTCCTGGTGGGGTGCACAATCTGCTACTAGGAACAAGAAGCTACTAGAAGCTCCTGGCATCGCTACTAGGAGCAAGAAGCTTTGGGTTGAACCTTGGAGTTTCTGACTTGTTCAGAAGTCTTTGGCATGAGTTTCTGTGCGTAAACACAAGACTGTGAAGCTGTGTTGTCTGGAAGCAGACATGTTGATGAAAAAGGACTGAGCATATTCTTTACAAAGCCCCTTTCCCATACAGTACAACAGCGACGAGGGAGCCCAAGCTTTGTTGCATTCATTTTTGGATGCAGTAGACCTGCCACCGTCAGCCTGTATCAAAAGGAGCCATGAAAGCTGTGGTTGATCGATCCTGTGGCCATGAATGTATATTTACTGAGCTTTGGTGACTAAGCAGCTGTAAAACACTGTCATTATCTGACATCAACAAGTAAGTGCTATGTCATCTCTCTGTGAACATGTATGGGAATCCCAAGTCAGTACTGTAAAGATCAAAAAAACAGGTTGGTTAAAGACCACCTCAAACAAGCTGAGTAGTTTTTTTTGCTCCATTTTGTGTCGTGAGACTCGCATCAGCACCTCCTATCTCATAAAGCCATTTTGGCTTTCTTGTGCCTTGGCGCCATTTTGGCATAGGTGCACATGGCCTGTTTATTTAGAGCATGAGGTGTTTAAGGGCAAAGCACTTGTGGCGGCCAGGCTTTGGAAGAGTGTGCTATGAGCGAGCCATAGTTTCACGCCGTTGACGCGTGATCGAACTACATTCAATCAGGAGGCTCATGCTGCAAATGCTCTACAGAAAGTGTGCATGAATCGGCGCTGGTGCCACTGCCAATGCCACAGCAGGTCCTTAGCTAGCAAAGCTAGGTCTGCAGGAGCTCAACACGACTTACTAAGAAGAGATTGCCGGAAACATCAGTGTGGGGAATAACCTACGCAGTTGGAGGTGGACGTGCAGGACCGCAGGGTGCACAAGTCCTACGGTTGAGTATCTCATGTCACAAGTGGTGGTTTGAGGGAACAGGAGGGCACAGCGACACTGGCATGCCATGGCCACTCTTTGCATGAGTAGGGCACGACGATAGCGACGACGACCACGACGACCACCACCACCACCACTACTACTACCACCACTACTACTACCACCACTACTACCACCACCACTACTACTACTACTCCTTCTACTACTTCTACTACTTCTACTACTACTACTACGACGACGACGACGACGACGACGACTACTACCACTACTACCACTACTACCACTACCACTACCACTACCACTAACTACCACTACCACCACCACCACCACCACCACCACCACCACACCACTACTGTACCACTACCACTACCACTACTACGACAGCTACGACTACTACGACTACGACGACTACTACGACGACGACTACGACTACGACTACGACTACGACTACGACTACTACTACTAATAATAATACTACTACTACTTTTTTACTACTTTACTACTTACTACTGGACTCTACTACTCTACTACTTTACTACTTTGCTACTATACTACTTTACGAGTACTACTCCTTACTACTCCTACTCCTACTCCTACTCCTACTCCTACTCCTACTACTACTACTACTACTACTAGGACTACTACTAGGACTACGACTACGACTACGACTACGACCACCACCACCACCACCGCCTCCAGGGCCACCTCTACTCTACCTCTACCACAACCACGACCACTACCACTACCTCTACGACTATAACACTGCTACCTCTACGACTACCACTCCACACCCACTACCACTACGACTAGGACGACAAATTCATCTTCTCATGATTGTGATCCTCTGAACACTGTTTGGGGTCTCTTGCCGGGATAGTTGGGCATTAAAACTTATAGAGTATATATGTGTTTGTATTTGGGGAAAAGTGTTCTTGAAAAAGCCAATGAAGCGCCCTCTTGATGAAGGGTAGGAAACAGGAAACTGGTCACCAATCTCTTCCCCTTCTTGCTGACCATGCGGCTCCTGGCCACGGACCTCTATCAACTTTTCCGAGATGGCGACCCAGC